TAGGCATATTTCGATTCCGAATGAATCATCATCAGTGCTCCTTGTTGTTTTCGATTTTTCTCACTAAAGTTTTTTGGTGAACGTTTAGTTTATTAAAATTCAAAATAAACTTATTTTTCGAATTCATGCTGCAAATAAGGCCATATTTCGATTCCGAATGAATCATCATCAGTGCTCCTTGTTGAGAATATATATATATATATATATATATATATATATATATATATATATATATATATATATATTCTTTTATAGAATATATATATATATATATATATATTTTTTTTTTATAGAATATATATATATATATATATATATATATATTGGATTAAGACTGTCAGATAGGGCAATTATTGATGAAAATCACAGCATATTCTGCATCAGTTAATTTTCTATTTATTTTTTGATTTTTTAACGGTTGAGTTTAAAACTAAAATTGTTATTTATAATAAGCATGATAGAACAGAAAAGCTTTTTTCCGTATTTCCATACCTTATACCATCTTCGGTGTTCGAATTGATACATGGCGCATGTGGCCAAATGTTCAAGTCTGTAGAATGTTGATTCTTTGTTTGTTTAAAGTAATTTGTTAATTTAATTTTACCGTAATAACTTTACGCGAATACATTATTACGATTGCTTTTTAACGTGTCATTATCATCGATGATTCCTCTGTTTCTAAATTTATTAGTGTGAAAGATTCCAATTGCACGTTGTTGAATATTTATTATCGGATGTGTATTGATACGGTCAATCGTAAGTAAAAATGGTTGTTATTGTAATGTAAGATTTTAACATTGTTGTCCAAAATATGCCTAATAATTTTAGTTTTGTGTTTTTCTTTCATGTGATTCATTATAATGCCACTTTAATCTATAACCACGGAACAGCCATTAATAGAAATATACTCAACAATAACACAAAGATACTGTATCGCAACAGGAATCCGTTTCAACTTAAAATTGCGGATGCCCATTTTTTGAACAAATGGCACCCTGTAATAAATATCCAACCAAATACTGTAACTTTGCTACCGACGAAAAAAATTAAAAGCGATCTTTAGAGCCAATAAATTAGAAACACACAGAGGTAGGTATATATAAAATACAACCAATAGTTGATAACATATTAAACTGAAAATGGTAAAGAATTGCCAAAAAAAATCTTTTTCTGTATGAAATAAAAATGAATAGAAAAGTAGTTAAAATTTTTGTTTTTTTATAAAAATAAGTTTAAAAATTGATTCGGTACGAAATATTGAAAAACTGAATCAGAAGCTGGAAATGCGATATTCCTTAAAAATTAGCAAAAATGAAAAGAAATGAACTATAATAAAAAAAGGTATGGGCCTGACACAGCAAAATCACGCGATCCAATCTTTAGCTGTCTATGAGGAACCAAAAGAATGTTCGAATCATCAGACCTCAGACGCAAACCAGATGCGATCAACGTTTTTAATTTCAGTTTTTCTGATAAATATTTTGGAGCCAGACCATTTAGTGATTTAAAAACTGTGACAGAGATTTTAAAAACAATTTTTTTATTAATGGGCAACCAATGCAAATCACTTAGGTGTATGTTGTATGCATGCATGTATGTTTTTTTTCTTTCGAGGTAGGAAAATACGTTTACGTATTCCCAGGCCCAGGCCACAACCCTTGGATATGTCGGACTCGAAAAATTCCTATACCGACTAAAAACCTTCTCGACATCTGGCCCCTGTTTCCCCGTTGACCCGCCGTTAGGCATTACTACACGGGGAGAGGATCATAGCTATTTGCTTTTCCTTCTGTTAATTTCTACCTTTAATGTATTTTTCTATTTTCCAACTTTGTTTGCTTTTTGTCTTTCTATCGTACGTAGATTTCGGAGAACCTCAGACGAAAATGAATTAATCGCATCCAAAGCAATTTTAGATGTGAGCATTGCCTTTACTATGTTTTCTGGCCAGAGTTTCTGTTTGAGAACAGTTTCCAGATTATTCCTGGATCCATTGAAACGTGGGCATTCAAAAAATACATGTTCTGCATTTTCATTAATTTCCGGACAAGAAGGGCACTTCGAAGTATCATCATGCCCAAAACGATAAAGATTCGCTCGGAAGCATCCATGAGAGCATTTGCGTAAAGTACTTTATTCCCACAACAAAACAGCCACTATTACAGAAGAGAACGTTGTGAAATGAATGACATCCCGCCTATCACAAAACGCCAATTCATGGAAACTAGTGATAGAGTAGGAAATAACAAAGCTCCAGGCTTAGACGGAATTCCAAACATTGTTTTAAAAACAGCCATCAAAAAGGCACCGAAACTGTTTTTGTAGGTGTACAATTCATGTCTTAGAGAAGGTGTGTTTCCTACAAGATGGAAGCAGCAGAGACTAGTGCTAATTCCCAAGGGAAAGAAACCTCCGGAAGAGCCATCATCTTATCGACCGCTATGTATGTTAGATACGGCTGGTAAAATATTGGAAAGAATTATTCATCGGAGGATTGAAGAAGTTGTGGATCCGCAGCTTACGGACAATCAATTCGGTTTCCGAAAAGGTATATCATCGCTTGATGCAGTGAATCTTGTTGTTAATAAAGCCAGAGATGCTATTGCAGGAAAAAGATGGAAAGGAGAAAAAATGAAGTACTGTTTTATAATGAAGTACTTTTATAAAAAAACAAAAATTTTAACTACTTTTCTATTCATCCTACAATAAGTGCAAGAAAAAATAAATAAAACAAAAGAAAGAAAGTTGATTGTCACTCAGTTAAATGTCAGAACACACATATATTAACACAAAATCAATAAATAAATAGATGACCAAAAAGAAGTAATACTAATTCAAATGACGATTTTTAGGATTTATCCACACAAGTTACTAGTTATGTACAAAAATTCAACGCAATAATCAACAAGCCTCACAACGAATTATTAACCGACACAAGAATTAAAACAACATAATGATAGAACCGTACCGTCTAATAAAGAACATAAAAAATAAAAAAAATAAAAAATTCATTTTCATAATCACATTTAATTACAAGAACCGAAATGCTGCTTAAAAAGCAGCAACTTTAATTGTTTACAAAATAGAGGAAATGATATTCCAGGTAGACGGAGTGAGGTTGGCAAATTATTCCACACCATCGGTCCAGCAACAGCAAAATTTCTTTTACCAGTCACCAAACGGGTTTGAGGAACGTCCAGCAAATTCCTATTATTGGATCTCAATCCTGGATAACCAGACGTTGAATCACGTTTAGTCAATCTACCGCCCATTTAAAACTTTGAACATCAAAACAGCAATCTTGTAGATAATTCTCTTTTCAATCGGAAGCCAGTGCAGATCCCGTAAAATCGGCGTCACATGATCAGATCTAAAACCTCCGACAACTAGCTTAGCCATGCGATTTTGAATTGACTGTAGTTTGGAAATTTCCAACATGGAGACACCGTAAAAAAGGCTGTTGCAATAGTCCAGCCAGCCTTGAGTGAATAAACGCGTGAGCCAAACTCTTTAGGGTAATCTCATTAAGTGAATTTTTTATAGCCCTCATCATGCGAAGTTGTCGATGACATTCACCAGTTAGCGACTTTATGTGGCACTCCATTGTCATATTACTATCGAATACAACATCAAGATTACGAGCAACTTGACATAATTCAATTTTACTGTTGTTAATCTCAATCGAAGTGAAATTTAATTTGTTTATTTGCTGCCACGTACCAATTGGCAATAACTGGGTTTTGCATTGATTCAATTTGAGTTTGTGCTTGATCATCCAAGAATCAATCGCCTCCATGCACCGACCAAATCTTTCAACAAGAGCTTGAAATGAAGTAGCTGGACCACTGACAATGATTTGTATGTCATCTGCAAACCCATGATGCTTGAACCTGAATGAATCAATGATGTCGAAAACGTCAGCAGTGTATAGCAAAAACAGCAGCGGTCCAAGTACTGAGCCTTGCGGTATACCATGCTTTACTTCCTGAACAGACGATAAAACATCTCTGCGTAATGCCTGTTGTTTTCGCGCAGAGAGATATGATTCGAACCAAATAAGAACAACAACTGAGATTCCAAAACATTGACGTAGCTTTCCAAGTAAAATCTCGTGATTAACACAATCAAAGGCTGCACTAATGTCATGTAATGCCAAGATTGAGATATTTTGATCATCAATAGCAGCAAACAACTCAGATGAAACATCTATCAGTACAGTCTCAGTTGAATGAAATTTTTTAAATCCTGACTGACATTTTGGTAGCAGATCATTATGATTTAAATGACAAATTAGCTGTTTGTGGACAATTCGTTCAATAACTTTTGACAAAAATGTTAGATTTGACACCGGTCTATAACTTGATAAACTATTCTTGTCTAGTGTCTGTTTTTTTAACATCGGAACTACAATTGAATATTTAAAAGCCATCGGGAAATGCCCATAAGTTAAACATGCATTTACAAAAACAGTCAAAAACGGAAGAAACAGATGAACGTATTTTTTAAGTATTTTAATTGGCAACTTTGTAGGTGAATCCAAAATAACTTGGCGAAATGTATGTATGTATGTATGTATGTATGTATTACATACATACAACAGTGCCCCGTCTGCTTTAACCACTATAGAAGCACTCCAGACGGGAAGTTATGTCGGCACGGAGGTAAAGTGAAAGGACAGGAATGCTCGGGGTTCCGGAAAAAAGTTGATCCATCGGGCGCGAGGGCTGCTTCGCCTCTCGGTGCCGCACCCGACCCCAAGCCCGGGTTGCCCACACGGTCGTCGGCCGCATCAGTCTCCGGTGATCCTCTCGACCTGGATTACTCTGGTGTTTTTGACAAGCTGACGGCCGTGCTGAAATGTGTACCGGTGTACGACCATATCCCTAAGCCATGCAGGGAGAAGTTCGCACATGATCTGAACGCCTTGCTGACGGCTGTTTGTAATGACCCTGGTGACCCGGCTCACTGGGTTAGACTCCACTGTTTTGTCCCATACGTCTTACAGAAGACTTCCAGAGAGGGTCGCCGGGTCAACCAGGGCCATCTGGTCAACAAGCGTCTTGAAACCCTGGTACTGTGCTTGATGGGTCCAATAATGCCAAATCACAAAAGCACAACCCCGATCGGTGGATCAACGCTGTGTCATCTTGTATTGAACAGGGAAACCTGTCCTCGGCTGTCAGACTTGTCTGTTTGCCGGAGGGCCTGGCAAAGAGCTCGCCGGCCACCTTCGATAAATTATGTTCCATCCACCCAAAAATTTCTGTGGACAGGCTGGTCTTTCCCGCATTGACACCAACGGCTGGTTGCGTTTCTCCTGCCGAGGTGCTGAGGGCCGTTAAATCGTTCAAAAACGGTTCTTCTGGATGGCCTACGACCCCAACACCTTAAAGATGTTTTTTCAGGCCCCTTGCCAATCGACGACACACTGAACTCCTTAACCCAATTCATTAATTTAATCCTACCTGGAGCTTGCCCACTCTCCGTCCGCCGGTTCTTTTTTGGAGGCCGGCTAATAGCTTTAAATAAGAAAGACGGAGGGGTCAGACCGATTGCGGTCGGGAACGTTTGGAGGAGGTTGGCCGGCAAATGTGCCTTGGCCCTGGTCGTGGTCGAACTCAAGACCAAATTCTACCCGATTCAGTTGGGTGTCGGAATTAAGGGTGGCGCTGAGGCCGCTGTTCATGCGGTTTGAAGATTGGTCACCGAGATTGGTCAAGATTGTAGTTCAGATACTGAACCGGCCCAAAAATAATCATTTGAGATTTTTTGTTGTTCAACGTTAATTTGTTGTTTTGAAACCATTTGACCACTTCTTTAATGGCAATATTGGTTTTATATAAAAGTTCATGAATATTTTCACCTTTACTAAAAATATTAGTGTCATCGGCATAACAAACAAAATCAAAAATCTTCGATGCCTTGGGAAGATCGTTTATAAAGATCACAAACAGTAGTGGACCCAATATGCTTCCCTGAGGAACTCCAAAGTTATTTGTTAGTATCGTCGAATTTTTGTTCTGCCATCTAACAAACTGTTTCCTATCGGTCAAGTAGTTACTAAGCCATCTTAGGGGTGTTCCACGGATTCCATAATAATTTAACTTTTCCATCAAAATGCTGTGGTCTATGCAGTCAAAGGCTTTTGACAGATCGATGCAAGTTCCAACGACAAAGTTTTTATTTTCTGCAGCTACTCCAATTTTACGGATCAACTCCACGATTGCCAACTCTGTTGAGTGTTTATCACGGAAGCCAAATTGAGAGTCTGAAATTATGTTATACTTTTGAAGAAAATTGACAATTCTTTTGTACATCAATTTTTCCATAATTTTTGAAAAGGCCGGTAGTAACGCTACAGGTCGATAGTTGGTTATATCGGTATTACCTGTCTGCTTTGCTATTGGAATTACTTTTGCCACTTTGAAACATTGAGGAAATATGCCTGTCGCAAATGAAAAATTAACCAGATAACTCAAAATTTGAGCTGTTGAGTTGATTGTGGAAATAACAATTTTTGAAGGAATGTCATCAACACCAATTGAATATTTGGGTCGTAAACTTTTTGCCGTCTCGACAACTTCTTCAAATGAGGTATCAAGACAAAAAAAGGAATTTGAAAGTTTATGGTGCATTGTTTGCTTCCATTCAGAATTTTTCGTAAAATCTTTCATCAAATTTGGTGTTTGTTAAGTGCATCTTCAGGATTGTCTAAAACCTGTTCATCTGAGGTTAGTAACTTTTCATTTTTATCATCTTTACTTTTATTTATTATTTTTAAAATATTCGACCACGCTTTTTTGCTGTTATTTTTTGTTCGTTGAAACAAGTCACTGAAGTATTGTTTTTTTAGCTTATTGTTGAGATTTGAGCAACGTTTGGCAATTGATTTAAATTTCGTGTATCTTATCCCGGTTGGATTTTCGAGAAATTTTTTATATAAAGAATTTTTATTTTTGAGTAAAATACTAAATTCTTTTGTAATCCATGGTTTGTTACAGAGAAAATTTCTAGATTTTTTGACATTTTCCATTAAGCAACAGTCATCGAAAAGTTTTTTAAATAGGTCAATGAATAGTTTGAAAGCATCATTTACATCATTGCATAACAAAACATCTGACCAATCGTTGATACATAAAGCTTCATTAAGTTTGTTTATTCTACTTTTTGAAAAGGAGTAGATTTGTTGATTCTTTACGTATTTGGACTTATTTTTGTTAATGGAAGAACTGATAGTGACGGTGATGGGCAGATGGTCCGATATATCATGAACGTGCACACCACATAACGCTACCTGTTGCGGAAAAGCAGTCGATGATTGATTGCTTTTCAACACTGATTCTTGTTGGAAGCGTTATTAACTGATCAAAACTGTAGCAGGTAAAAAGTTGACATAAATACATTTTGTTAACATCATCGTTCGTGTCACTCATATCAATGTTGAGGTCACCTGTGATAACAACATGTTTGTTTTCAACGTCTATTTGTTGCAATATAATTTCCAATTGCTGCAGGTAATAGATCGCGTTGCAACTGGGTGGTCTGTATGATACAACAATGACAAAATTTTTGGTTGAAGGGTCAGTCTTTAATTCAATTGCGAAAGTTTCAAAATCTAGACCTCCCAATTTGTTTAAATCATCTCTTGTCTTGAAGGTCAAGTTATTGCTTACGTAGAATCCTACTCCTCCACCGTGTTTGCTCAATCGATTTTTTCCGATGAATTTGAAACCGTTCATACAAATCAAATCTTCTGTACTATCATTAATCCATGTTTCAGTGATGGCTACGACGTCAAATGTGCACACAAAATTGTTTAAATAATCAAACAACTCATCTGCCTTGTGTATTAAACTTCTGATGTTGATATGCATGAGATTAAAAAATGATTTTATATTGGAATTATTGTAATGTATTTGTTTAAATTGGTTATTAAATTGGTTTATATTTTCAAATTTTGGCACCTGTTGTTAAGTGTTTTGCGGTGGTTTTCTTTGTTTGCTGCATTTGTGCTAATCATGTTTCACATTATTACTTTCTTCGGGTTTTTTCTGGTTGAAGCGCCACTCACGAACGATGATGTGCTTCAAAATGATGTCAGGATCTTTCATCTTGCTGGCGTCACAACTTTCGACACACACTCTGAACATTGTGCACTGCTCATCATCATTGTTGTTTTTGTTACCCTCAGTCGAATTATTTGTCTTTTTAACAACAGGAAAACACGAAATTACCTTGATTCCATTTGTTGAGAAGTATTCAACAACATCATCTCGGTGGCATCGCTGAATGTTGCTCATCATGAAAAATGACTTTTTTATCAGCTGTTTCTCCGCTTTCAATTTGCAATCATTGCTAACTTTGTTTCCAACAATTTTATTTGAAACTTTTTTTGTAACCTCTGAATATTTCATGATGTTGTTGTTTTGACGATTGGCGTTGTTGCTATCGGTTTCACTGCGATTGGTGCTGCTGTTGTCTGACCGTGGACGCTTGTTTTTGCGCAGTACGAGACTGAACGGTAAGTTCTCCACTGGTGTTGTTACTCTGTCTGACCAGAGATTTTTGTCCTGTAGAATGTTATCTTGCTGCGCGTTACTTGTCGTTGGAATTTCGTTGTTGACATTTGACGACTTTCACCAACAAGAGAGTTAAGTTTATTTTTTACATTATCCAACTCGGTTGTGTAAGACAGAAACATTTTGTTAATTTCAGCTTGTTGACTGAACAACATTTCTTTTATTTGTTTGTTAACAAAGTCGAAATTTATTTTCAGCCAGTTTTCCGTGTTTGGTATTTTGTTTATATCAGAACTGCAAAAAAATGCTATTCTATCCAACAAATTATTATTTTTAATATATCTGAATAAAGTCAAGCATTCCAGAAGTTTTTCACGTTTTGAATTCCCGCGCAAGGGAAATTTTTCTATTTTTTCTAACTTTAGTGATTCTATTTCACATTTTAATGTTTTAATTGCTAAAACGATATCGTCACTAGTATAAAATTCACTAGTATTATTAATAAATGATTCTTCCTCTATTAAACTTAAATTATTATTAACAAAATAAAGAAGCTCGTTTATTTTTACCGGTCTCGACGCCATTTTTTCAATACATTTAATACATACATACTTACATACATACATACATACATACATACATACATACATACATACATACATACATACATACGTACATACATACATACATACATACATACATACATACATGGATGGAAAAATGGCGTCTAAAGGTAATTTGTCGGTGAATGAAGTTTTATATTTTTTGATAAATAACTTAAATTTACTTCAAAATGACGTGTTTATTTCAAATGTTGTTGATTTTTACACTTCTGACGATATTACTATTGCATTAAAAACTTTAAAAAATGATTTAGAATTTGTTAAAAATGAAAAGTTTGCAAACATAGAAAAAAATTCTGCGAAAAGCAATAAAAAAGAGGACAAAATGCTTGATATTGTTACAATTATCTTGCAATTAAACAAAAACAATTTATTGGAATCTCTACCAACCTATGTAAGTGTTAATTTTTCTAAAATTCCCAGTATGGATAATATATTAAATGTAAATTTCAATAAAATTAAAATGGAAATTAAAGAAATAATGTACAAGCAAGAGTTGTACATAGCGAAACTATTAGAAAATATGAATATAAACTATGTAAACTATCTTGTCAGCAAACCGACCAGCGCACCTGAATATCATACGCTGGAAATTGTCCCACCAACTAAGCAGACTAAACAAAATCATTTTATTGACAACAGAGTTAACAACAACAATTTCAGCAGCAACAACAGCGGCGACAACAACGGCAGCAACAACAGTACTCTATGGGCAGATGTTGTGAGAACTCCAACTGAAAATATCGACCAACCATTCACAGTAGTTCAGTCAAAAAAACGACCAAGATTAAACATCACTCCAGAGATGGTTGAACGAAGTAACGTCAATAGTGGAAGCATCATAAAATCTGTTACAGAGAATATGATGGAAAAACCAGTTAGGAAAATAATTGGTAACAAGAAAAATGACGAATTATGCAAAATTAAAGCTAATAAAATGCTCATAAAAAAATCATTTTTTTCAATGAGCAATGTTCAAAAGAGCCACAGAAACGATGTTATGGAATATTTAAAATCCATTGATATAAATGTCATTTCATGTTTTCCAGTACTAAAACGCACAGATTCTCCCGCCAATGAAAGTCCAAACAACGACGATTGCGAGTCTACGATGTTCAGGGTATGCGTTGAAAGTAGCGATGCTGCTAAGATGAAAAATCCGGACGTTATTTTGCAACATATCATCGTCAAAGAATGGAGGTTCAACCCCAAAAAAATCGATGACAAAAACAACAACAAACATGAAGAATGATGTTCCTAATAACCTTTATCTCAATATGAAAGATGATGAACAATGGCCAATTTATCTTCATCTGATAGATGGCACCTGACAATAATGAAGTTAAACCTGGTCGGCTTGATGATGTTGATCCTGATAGTAATTTGTTGAATGATTTAAATAATGTGTGTTCTTTTTTACCTCCGGATAAGGTTTATGTATTTATTAATCCGAATTCTTTTTCTGTTTTTCACATTAACATTCGAAGTATGTTTAACAAAATGACTGAATTGAATATTTTGCTTGATTATTGTGGTGGTAATTTTGATTTGGTAGCTGTGAGTGAAACTTAGTTATGTGATCAGATTTAATTAATTTGCCTAATTTTAATTTTGTATCTAAAAATCGCATAGGTAACCTAGGTGGTGGTGTTGGTTTATTTATTAAAAGTCATTTAAATTATGTTGTTCGGGATGATTTATTATCTTATTCTCCTACTTTTGAGTTATTAATAGTTGAAGTGTTTTCAAATATTAGCTGTAATTATTTGTTTATTGTTATGTATCGTCCTCCTTCTACTGATGTTAATGTATTTTTGAATGATTTAAAATCTTTACTCATAAATATTAATCCTGGTTTATTTAAATATATTTACATTATCGGTGACTTCAACATTAACTTATTTTGTGACGATTATAAACATATATCCACTGTATTCATCAATTCTTTAGCTTCTTTGGTTTTAATTCTTTGATTACGACTGCAACACGTGTTACTACTACTAATTCATCTTTGTTAGACAACATTTTCACTAACAACATTTCTTTTCATAAATCTGGTGTTATTTTTTCCTCAATGTCAGACCACTTTCCTATATTTACTTCTTTTCATTCTCCTGTTATTAATATACCCAACTTATATATTCCTTCCTTTAATTATAATTTTTATAACATTGATAAACTAAATTTACATCTTAAGTATTATGATTGGAGTTTAGTTTTGAATTGCTCTCAGACCGATGAAGCTTTTGAATTATTTATTGGCATCATAAAAAATGCTGTAATTAAATGCTGTAGTATCTCTCGAAAAAAAACTCTTAAAAAAAAGCCTTGGATCACAAAGGGTTTAATTACTTCATCGGTAACAAAAAATAAATTATATAAAATTTACCTAAGTTCAGGCTCGCCGTCGGATAGATTGGTATACACCAAATATAAAAACATTTTTCTAAAGTTATGTAAATTATCCGAATTTTCTTATTTTAACAACCAATTCACTAAATGCAAATCAAACAGTAGACTAACCTGGAAACTTCTTAAATCATGTTTAGGGTTAAAGCATTCGTCACCTCTTAATATTATTGTCAATGATCAAATTATCAATGATGATTTTTTATTATGTAATCATTTTAATAATCATTTTTCGTCTTTAAACAACCAAAATGTTTCAAATTCATCTGATCCTAAATGTAACTTTAAAAAATTTTTTTCTCCTAGTATCTCAAATTCTTTCGTCTTGTTTGAATGTCTGCCATTTGAAATTATTGATGTTGTAAAAAATTTTGATAACACATATAGTTGTGGTAATGATTTTATTTCAAACTTTTTATTAAAAAATATTTTTCAAAGTGTCTTATTTCCGTTGCTTCATTTAGTTAATTTATCTTTTAAAACTGGTCACTTCCCTAATTTTCTGAAAATTTCTAAAGTGCTGCCTTTATTTAAATCTGGTGACCGTCATTCTATTAATAATTATCGCCCTATCTCTGTTCTTTCTAGTTTGTCAAAATTAATTGAAAAATTATTTTAAATCGTCTTAATAAATTTTTAAATTATCATAATATTATTTGTTTAAATCAATATGGTTTTCGTGAAAAGTTGTCAACTGAGTTTGCTGTTTCAGACGTTATTAATTTTGTTTCTCATGCACTCGAATCTAAAAAATACTCTATTGGGGTTTTTATAGATCTTTGCAAGGCTTTTGACTCTTTAGATCACAGTATTTTATTGTACAAGTTATATTCATTTGGTATTCGTGGTTTAGCTTATAATTGGTTCTCTTCATATTTAAATGATCGCTCTCAATTTGTTTCTATTGGTAGTTCCATGTCTTCGTTGTCTCCTATTAAATCGGGTGTTCCTCAAGGTTCTATTTTGGGCCCTTTACTTTTTAATATTTATATTAATGATTTTGTTTACTCTTCCAACATTTTAAAATTTATTTTATTTGCTGATGACACTACTCTTCTCTATTCTCACTCGGATTTTAATGTACTTGTTTCGGTAATTAACTACGAACTAAATTTTGTTTACGATTGGGTTGTCTCAAATAATCTACGTATCAATTTAAGTAAAACATGTTTTATATTATTTGGTCCTAAAATTAGAACAGATATTGTTTATCCAGTTATATATTTAAATAATATTACTATTGAAAGGGTTGAGTAATTTAAACTTTTGGGAGTTATTTTGTCTTCTAACTTATCTTGGTTGAATCATATCAAACATATCTCCTGTAAACTGTCTAAAAACTTGGGTCTTATTTATCGATTGAGGTTTAAATTTCCTAGATTTATTTTATCAACTTTATATAACTCTCTTATTCTTCCTTATTTGACTTATTGTGTTTCTGTTTGGGGTGGTACATCTAAATCAAACCTTCATATTTTAACTCTAGCTCAAAATTTTTTTCTTCGCATTCTGTTTAAATTAAAGAGATTTGACCATGTAAGTTCATACTATAAAACTGCAAATATCCTTACCATAAACCAACTACACATTATTTATCTATTACTATCTTTTTTTAAAATATATAAATTAAATTATTGTCAATCTCTTAAAGATCAGATTAATTTATTTAAAAATACTAGGCAAAATTGTTTACGTTCTAATTCTGAATTTTACTTTTTGAAACCTAGAACAAATTTTTTTCTCAACTCCGTCTTATATAGCTCTATGCGTCTTTGGAATTTATTACCGATGACTACTAAAAATTCTTCTTCCCTTGCTCTATTTAGAAAATCTATCTATTTGCTCATTCAGTCTAATTATTTCAACCATGTCCTCTGTTAATGCGATTGTTTTCCGTTATGTACTTTATATTTATTCAATTTTAAGAAAGTTTATTAATACTTAAATAATTTAATTAATCTTATTTTTTCTTATTTATAGAACTATCATTATTTCATTGTGAAATATGAACATTTCTTTTCAATTTATAAATTTTGGTGTAAATTTTATGGTGGCCCAACAAGTCATATCTTCGGGTCTCCTAGCTTTTTGCTGAATAAACTCATTATTGAATTGAATTGAATACATACATACATACATACATACATACATACATACATACATACATACATACATACATACATACATACATACATACATACATACATACATACATACATACATACATACATACATACATACATACATACATACATACATACATACATACATACATACATACATACATACATACATACATACATACATACATACATACATACATACATACATACATACATACATACATACATACATACATACATACATACATACATACATACATACATACATACATACATACATACATACATACATACATACATACATACATACATACATACATACATACATACATACATACATACATACATACATACATACATACATACATACATACATACATACATACATACATACATACATACATACATACATACATACATACATACATA